CAGGAATTCCAGCTGGTCCAGCCAGCTCTGGATGACCATGGAGAAACGTGTTTGCATTATCTGTGGGTACTGATGGCTGCACTGGTTGCCCTCTGCCTGCTCACTTCATGGGGGGGCTTGGCCAAAGGACCCTGGGGACAGACCTGGGGGTGACACTGCTCCCCAGCCCCCCATGCTGAGCAGAGCTGGGTTTAGAGCAGAGCTGCTCTGGAGACCCCTGTGTCCTCCCCTGTAAGGGCATGGGGGGAATTCACCATCCAGAAACCCCAAACGTGTCCCTCAGCTGCTCTTGGTGCCCCAGGGATGCTGTGAGGAGGACAGGAGGCTGTTTGGGGCCCTGGTCCTCTGTGTGGCATGGAGAGTGTTCAGGGGCTTTGGTTTTGCTAGTGGACAAAGAGAAGGCTCCAGGGAGAGCTGAGAGCAGCTTCCAGTGCCTGAAGGGGCTCCAGGAAAGCTGGGGAGGGGCTTGGGACAAGGGCAGGGAGGGATGGGAGCAGGGGGAAGGGTTTCCAGCTGGCAGAGGGAGCTGGAGCTGAGATGGGAGGGAGAAATTCTGGGCTGTGAGGGTGGGGAGAGCCTGGCCCAGGTTGCCCAGGGAAGCTGTGGCTGCCCCATCCCTGGGGGTGTTGAAGGGCAGGTTGGATGGGGCTTGGAGCAGCCTGGGCTGCTGGGAGGTGTCCCTGCCCATGCAGGGGTGGGACTGGGTGATCCTGAAATGATCCTGAAATGATCCACTGAAGGAATGGTCAGTCCCTGGCACAGGCTGCCCAGGGAGGTGGTTGAGTCACCATCCCTGGAGGTGCTCAAAAGCCGTGTAGAGTTGGTACTGGAGGACATGCTGTGCTGGCTGGTGCTGTGGGTGGGTGTGTGGCTTGTTTGTTTGCTGTGGGGTATTGTTTGTTTGTTTGTTTGTTTGTGGGTTTTTTGCTTGGTTTTTTTTGTGGGTTTTTTATGTGTGTTGATGGTTGGACTCAGTGATCTTAGAGGTCCAAGCAAGACCTTCAGGTCCCTCCAGCCCAAACCAGTCTGGGGTTCTTTGACCTTTGCTACCAGGCTCTTTGAGACAGGAGCTCTCTCCGGCTGCCACTGCCCGTGGGTTCTTCCTGCTGCCCTCAAGTTGGCAAACTGTTGAGCAGCTGATGGGAGGGAACAAGGAGAACCCAAAGCCTGGAAGGTCCTGTGAGAAGAGGACAAAGAGCAACTGCTCACACGCCGCTGGGTCATTCAGAGAGAGGACACAACAGCCCCAGGTCCAAGTCTTCTCCTGCGAAGCCCACCAGGGTTTGCATCACCTGAGGGGCACCAAGCCCTGGTTCTCACCCTGCAGGGGCACCAAGCCTCGCACACGCCTTCCTCGGAGGGTTTCTGGACCCTGCTTGGGTGTTGGGTGGAGATAAATGCCACCCTCTGCAGGGAGCTGGAAATCCGAGGCAGGCGCAGGGCGGCTCGGCAGCCCGTCCTGCTGGTGGGACTGGGCATCTTGCCCTGGAGCCCCACCCTGACGCTGCGTCCCCTCCCTTGGGGTGCCAGGG